GCTGATAGGCAGCTGAATTGTGTATCAGAAGGCTTGGGACAAGTAGGGAATTAGGATAAAGGATTGGTTCTGAAAGTTAATTTATTAGGAAAGCTTTAACATATAAATTAGAAATTTATTTTTACTAAATATAATCTTGTACATTTGGATAGTATTAATTGAACTAGTGTTCTGCATCACATTTTTTTTCAGCCTTACTCACAGTAAACACCTGCCCACTCTTACTTGCAAATGCCATTACAACATCTTTTGTTTTTATAATTACAAATGACAATGAATTTTATGTGAGTTAATTTTGCTCTTTCTGCCCACTATAATCTGTTCAGCACATTCTATTTCATTGCAGAATGATGGGTTTCTACGTGAAGATTACTATTATATGTTGTAACCTAATATAATTTATTATGTACTAATTCTTGTAGTGTAGGTTTATAGGATACTAATGGTAGCCATCATTTCCCTTTTTTATGGGATTGGCCTTTTTTTTACTTACTCCAGTTGTTACTGCAGGAAGGAGTAGTTTGAGGACTATCGGTAACTTTTAAGTCTACCAATTGTTTTTAAATTTTTTCCCCTAATTAATTGGGAATAGTTGACATGAGGAAAAGTGAAAGTAGGGCACTTTCTAGTTAGCTGTATGTGTCATGGATTTTCATGCAATTAATTTAATTTAATTGATTTTGTAGCTTCTAATATTTTTCAACTCTAAAATTACTCTTCTGTTACCTAGTCATTAAGTACTAAATTTGCTTATGGCTTATATAATGGCTTCACATTCTGTCACGTCAGTCTTGTCCATAACTACCAACTAAGCCCTAATAAATAATTCACTAGTAATATGTAGACCTGAAGATAAGTAAAAACATGTGCAAATACATAAAATAACAGCACAAAAAACAAGAAATAACATTTAGAAATAGACAGTTAAAAATATTGCTACTGGTGTGGCCAGCTGGTGTCATGGTGGTTAAGGCGCTGGACTCCCATATGGTCAACCATTGTTTGAGCTTCAGACTATGTGTGTGCTGGGGTGCCTAAAATCCCAAGAGGAGAATGGAAGAGAAGGGATTGCAGCATGGCCATCTCCCCTGGGGGATGATTTCTCATTTTTTCTCTCTCTGTCTTTCTCCAGTGAGCACAGGCATCATATGGCAAAAGTGTAAAAAATAATTTTAAAATAAATAAAAAATATTACTATTGACTAAAGATGCATTGGACATAAATGGAAGGTACATGATAGGGCATAAATAAATAAACATATTGATAATTTTAAAGCTTCATTGATAACGAGGACCCCTTTGAGGGTTTCTCTCCCAGCAGAAAGTAAATAATACACTTATTTATAAAAATTCTTCATCTTGTCAAAGATTATAATCCTTAGATATATGATGGAACACATGATTGAAACGTTATAATAAAAAATATATTCATAAAAACCCATCGTTTATTCTCTATACCTTCATAACAGGATGTTCTGGTAGTTCAACCTCTGATGTTGTGAATGTCACTCTGAGGCTTTGAGGTTAATATATGTACACAGATATTGAGATTTAAAATGAGTAAATGGTGATATTGGAATTCCTTTCTCATGGTTCTTTTTTAAATTTGCAGGTTTAAATTATTTAAAGCAAACACTTCATTTACATGGACCTTAGTAATTTGTAATTCTTACTAACATATACAAATATTTAAAAATTATTCTAAAAATTATTGTTTAATGTATCTTGTAGATAACTTAAATATTTTTAGAAATAGTTTTGAGATAGAAGTCCAGGCAACTTTGATTATAAGCTTTGAATGGCTTTCCAAACAAAGGGAATGGTAAAAGTAAGTACTAAAATAGATGACTTCGTACACCAGTATTTCTGCAGGTAACAAATTAGAATGCTCTGTGTGTTGAAATAGGTGGAGAAATGGTCAAAAACTCATGGCTTCAAAGTCTGAAAAAGATTAGGTTATGAGAAATTGAAATTTTTATATACTGTTACTTAATTTCAGGCTATCCCCAATGTTGTTATTTTGACATTAGCAAAGAATGGGAAGAGTATGCATATTTCAAGGAACAATTACTTAAGTATTTTTAAAAAATACTCATAAACAAGACAGGAGCTTTGAGTTCAAGTCATTAAAATGAATCAATAGAGAAGTGAAGTTTCTTTCCGAGATAGCAAAATATCACAAATACACAATTTTTCTTTTGAATCATTAATAAGAAACTTTATTCATTATCTCCTTGGAACATAAAGAATTGCTTTAGAAGTGTATTTTGATGTTTAAGTCTTATTGTTATGTATCATTTACTATTATCTACTTAAAATGTGTGTCTTAAGGGAAAAATCTCTCCCTTCCCACATGATGGAAGTTATTTACAAATTGATTAGTATTTGAAGTCTTTTTAACCATTCTCATTATATTAACTATGAAGATCCTTCAGAGTTTTAATTTGAGGCTTCATTCTTTTCTTCTGCATATCAACCACATTCCTCTCTTTGACTTCTCAAATGTTAATTTTTTTCTTAGTAAAATTTAACATTAATACCACTTTTGATTTTTAAGATAGGGAGTAGCATATTTGCTATATTCTCATTTAGCCTTATGACACAAGTTTTCAAAGAAAAGTGAATGGGAAAAAATCACTGACAAATCGGAAATGATGCTGTGCAGATTTTCAGGATTTCAGCTCTTCAGAGGAATTCAGGGCCATTATTTCTTCTGATTTTCTACAACATTTTCTTTTCTCTTTCTTGGATTCTAGTTAAATGTATAAATTTCATATCTAATAGAGTAATTTTGCTTACTTTTGAAACTTTTATGGAATACTCATGTGAATTTTATAGAAATGGAACTCCGTTTATGACTTGAATACTAATGGAAATACACAATATATTACTCTTTAACATCTGACTCTTTTTCTTGTTAGTATGTTTGTGTAGTTCATCAATATTGTTGTGTATAATTGCAGTTCATTTATTTTCTTTGCTATAGAATTCTTTTCTATTAATACACGACACTATGTGCAATCTACTGTTGACTACTTTTGTTTCCAGGTTTTGGCTATTCCTAAGGTTGCAGCTGTGAATTATCTCAGACATGCCTTTTGATAATAATATGTGTTAGTTTTTGCTAGGAGTACACCTAGCAGTGGAATATTTATTTGTATTTAATGTGACTCTGGCATACCTTTGTCCCCAGGCTGACAACTAGTAGTTATTACTCCACTGTCTTACCTTCTCCTACCTCCCAACTAAGATACTAAGAAGTCAAATATTGCTGGATTCCAGAAAGGTTCTAGAGCCTAAGTTCATGTAATTCAAAGCCTCTCTAACCATTATCTGCTTCCTTTTTTTAAAAAAAGAATTATTTAACTTTATTTACTTTATTTATTCATTCATTTATTTTAATTTGATCAGAGAGATAGAGAGAGAGAGAGACACAGGGAAAGTGAGAAAGCAAGCTACCAGGCCCAGGACTTGAACCATGGTCAGCCATGTGGGAGTGTCCAGCACCTTAACCACCATGCCACCTGCTGGTCTGCTTCGTAATTCTGGGAAATCTTGACCTTCGGCTGTACCTGCCTCTTCTTTGTGTCTCTATTACATACTTCGAGAATAACGTCATTCTTTCTTCTTTACCCTCTAGTATAATTTCATTTTTCCTCTAGTATAATCTAATTATTAATAATAAACTGAGAGTTTGGAAAGTAATTTTACTTTGCTTTCAATCCTG